TTCAAAATATTGATGTCAATGAAACCCCATTTCTCAAGGTACCATAACTAACCACAGTTTTTTTGTAACAGCTGCATTTCCTATGTAATTTTACTTTTAATTTTTAATAATTTTTAATGAAAAAACAAGCTCCAAGGTATAAATATGTAAAATATAATTCGTAAACAGGCAACATCTTTCGTATACATTGTTGTTCATTAAGAGTGTAAAGGCATTGATCAAGAGAAATATTCTATTGTTTCAAATTTATTTTTTGAAGTCACAACCCTAATGGTACTTTATATCATCATGCTTGAAACAATAAGTTTATTTTTAATTAAATGATAAAGACAAAGGCCAATTTGTGTTTTGTAGGTGTTTTTGTATATTTTTTCACCTTTCCTGTTTCTCCTTAGAGACACTATTCCCTTAGGTTTCCACAAAGAAGAATTCACTCCTTTTAAATAATTTGAAACTAGCAAATATTTCCCAAGTTTCAAGCTAATCATCTCAGCTATGATAATCTTTATGAATGTTTACAAGGTGGGATTTGTTGGACACACATCTTATAAATTATTTGGTATTAAAAAGGTATTTATTAGAAATCAGATATATGTGATAGTGAAGAAAAATTACTAAAAAGTCGTAGTTCAGATTTGAATTAAACTGAGAAATTATTTTATATGAATATTCCTTCCTACAAAATTAAATGTTGTTTTCCAAGAAGTACATTTGCCTTTCAATATGGTTGATCCTTGCTCATATAAACCAGAGAAAAACAGAAAGATACCAACCTGTACTGCTAATGGTAAGTTAAATAGTGGTGTTACTTTTCTTTAAAAAATTTAAGAATAATTACAAATACTATGTGAGTTACATACAAATAAATAACAGTGATTTAAAGATGATATTTATTATTTCACTTTGTATAAAACATTATTTCTCATTTCTTATTTTATGAATCCATATTGCAAGAGTATAGGTTTTGATTTATTCACTCACCTGCATTTCTAATGCTTTAGTGTTTAAACCATACACTGAACTGTAGAAATGTGGAGGGAATGATATCTATTCTATTGCTCTCTATATAAAGAGAGCCTGGACAGCCCTAAAAATTAGTCAAACATAACAAGGTTGGAGGTATTTTTCCTAGAGAATTGACTTCACATGTTTTAATACATTTTTAAAAATAGGAAAATAGCTTTTTTGCAAGTGCTAATTCTGGTCAACACTTGGAGCAATGATAGCTTATCATTGATAATGATCAATTGCCGAATCTGCGCTGGTTGCAGAACAAATATCTACTATGTGACTTGAAATTACTCTGATATCAACACTGAACCTACAGGAATGCTCAATGTATTTTGCAGAAAAAGTGGAAGTTAGAACAAGGACATATTAACAAAATGAACAGGGACAAATAAAGGTGAGATTGGGGAAGAAAGATTTAGATTCATTTATGGTTCTTTAAGATTTATCATTTTCATCAACAGCCTGGAAATAATTCACCAAAAACTTTTAAGAAAAAATAATGCTAAAAATATGAAGTGAGAAACTATAATTTGCTAAAAGAATAAATTGTTAATCTAGATAATGTGGGGTTCATATATGAGGTAACAGGCTAAATCATGTAGAAGGGAAATATTGTGTATTTAGTAATAAAAGAAGAAAAACTTCAGAACAGGCAAGGATATTGATTGGCAAAATTAATTAATTAATTAACGAGTAATGTAATTTAAATATTTTTTATTTAAAAGAAAGAAAATGTACACTATACGATATAGTTTATTTCTCTTTGTTGGTGCTTGTGCTGAGTTTATTTGGAAAGAGTTCACCTGTTTTGCAAATTGACAACAAAGATCTCCTTGGTGTAAGAGAAAATCTGGCTTTATTTATTTTTTTATGTTTAATTTTTTCTGACTTTATTGAAATATAAACAATTAGTTGCTCATATTTACATTGTACAATTCAATGAGTTTTTTAAAATTATAGTTGGCATACAATAATAGACCCGTTTTCGTTGTACAGCCTTGTGATCAGGCATCCGCATGACTCACAAAATGATCACCCCACTAAATCTAGTACCCCAATTCCCCCTTACATATTTATTATAACATCATAAACCACCTTCCCTTTGCTATGCTGTACATCACCATGCCTATTCTGCAACTATCCATTTGTACCTCTTAATCCCTTTGCCCTCTTTTTTCTCCCCTAATTCCCCTCCCATCTAGTATCCCTCTAAATATTCTCTGTATATATGAGTTTATTTCTGCTTTTGTTGATGTTGTTGTTGCTGATTTTGTTCTTTAGTTTCCACATGTATGTGAAATCATGCGATATTTGTCTTTCTCTGTCTGACTTACTTCATTCAGCGCAATACCCTCTAGATCCATCAAGGCAATATCTTTTTCCATCTCCTTCCTTTTAGTCTGTGTGTCTTTTAATCTGAAGTGAGTCTCTTGGCAGCATATGTAGAGAGGTCTTGTTTTCTTATCCATACAGCCACTCTATCTTTTGGTTGGAGCACTTAATTCTTTTCCACTTGAAGTACTTGTCGATAGGAATGTAGTTATCACCATTCTTTCTTTATTCATGTTTTTGATATATGTTTTTTCTTCTTAAAAAAGTCCCTCCAACATTGAGAAAATCTGACTTTAAATATGGCTCTAGAATATTTGCCCAATCAGTGTTCTGAATTCACTGTTATTATTTTTGCTTTTATAAATTATAAAAGTTTGAAAATAACATGTTTTATTGAATAATATCTATTGGTAGAATGTTATTAAGAATGAATAAATTTTTATGACAAGTAAAATGCACTATAATATCTCACTGAAGGAGTACTTTATTATTAATTACTATTTTAAAATATATTTGTAGAAATTATACCTGCATGTACCATATGTGGTCATTTATAAAAATGGGGTCAATTTGTATAAACCTTTTTGTAATTTTATATCTAAAATATTTTTAGATGATTTCTAAATAGAATATATATTCATCACTTAAAATGAATAAAATTATTTTTAAAAAGCTTATTTTTAAATATTTAGATTATTTTCTATTTTTTTACTCTTAAAGTATGTCATGATATATATATCTAATGTGAAAGTTGAATTTCTTTTTAAGAAAGATAAATTTTTCATTATGTATTCTAAACAATTTTTTTTTCAGAAATTTGTTTTGTCTGTTCACATTACTGAACTATCTTATTGTAATATTTTCAGTTTAATATATTGGATAGTCTAAGGGCCCAATCAGGTCAATAGAAAGTAAATCTATTTTCTTTATGAATCAAGTATTTAACTGAATTTTATAATTTATAGTTTCTCTTTCTAATCTTGTTTAATTGGTTAGAGATTTTAGGATATTGCTGAACAACAGGGATCATCAGTATCCTTGTATAGGTCTGATTCCAGTAAAATATACCTGCTAGAATTACATCAATTATTAATACCTTACATAGTCTTCCTATTCTTTGAAAACTTTAATTAATGAATTTATATCAGATGTTAAAATATGAAGTGACATCTCTAAAATTTGCTACACATATAGTTTTTATGTGTCTCGATTTCTTCACTGATTGATTATTAAGCAGTTACTAGACATTGATGCATTCTATACATACCTCATTTTATCCTTATAATGAGGTCAAAATGATTTTTATCTCTTTTTTATAGGTTAAAATTTAAAGGAAATTAATTTTGTCAAGACCATATAATTAGTAATAAATGATAGAGTAAAATTTACAAAAAGATCTCTCTGACTTTGGTTCTAAACTCTTAACAGCCATATTACACTGCTCCTTATGTTTTATTTTTTGTGTGTGTGATCCTTAAACTTTAAAAAGTTCATTCTTAAACAATAAAAGGAGTGTCCAAATTTTTAACCTTAAGAGTAGACTGCCCTTTGTCTCATTAGCCATTAACATGTTTTTCTTTCTCAGATCTGTGCTGGATCCTGTGTGGATTAGCAGTTTGAAGTTCTGTTTCTAATTTCTAGCTGGCTCCCACCGTTGCTAGACTTCAGCTCTGTTATTCACTCTGTTTTCATCATTGGCCAATCTGAGATTCTGAAAACCTACAATTCCAAACATAAGATACTGGCAGAATGTAGTTGTCCCATCCAAATCACACACTTCCAATATTTTCTCTGTTAATAGTCACTGGTTAGATATATGAGTGATTGCTGGGGACATGTAGACATAGGCAATGTGACAAGAAAACTGATTTTTCACTGTCACAAAGCTGAACCTGAAAAGTAGGTTTAGATTCTAGATACCTGTGACTGAATGGAGACTGTGAAGAGATACAATGCATTTTCTCTTTTATTCTTATGGTCTCAGTTACATGTGCAAAATGTTGAAGTCTTGAATAGATTACTATTACTTTTTTTTTTTGGTAAATATGGCTATATCTGCATTGTATTAACTTTCAATTTTTCCTAGATTCAACTAGTATTAATTTTGTTGCAATATTACAGTTTATGCTCTTAAAAAAAAATTTCTATGTCTTCATTAGTAACTCTTAGGGAAGTTGGAAGAGGGTGCAATAGGGTGCTAAGTAAATGTCACTTTAATATGAAATAGAAAATTTCAGAATTTAACTATAGATTTTAATTCATTATACCGGTATAATTTTATTTCGATGAAATTAATAATTAAAAATGAATGGATTATTTTTCAATCCTGAATCAAGATTTTATCTAATTTATTTTACAAATACATAAATTTGGAGTTAGTTACAAATGACTAGAAGTTTGTAAGCAAGGGTGAAAAAATAATTTATTATGGGTTTTGCAGGTCAATTTCCAAAATTGAGTTGATTTCTATAGTTATTTTAAAATAGTTTCTTTTGCACGGTTCTAGATCAAATCTTCAACATCATGGATTATTATCTTGCAAAGGGGTATGTTTGTGAATATGATTCCTTTTCTATAGCATTTTCTAGATATAAACTTACTCATGTAGTTTCTCATTTTTGTATCTTTTTATTTCTAGAATAAATCCCAAAAGAGAAATGAAGAACCATACAAAGCAGATAGAGTTTATTCTTCTGGGACTGACAGATAATCCTCAGTTACAGATTGTAATTTTTTTATTTCTACTTCTGAATTACATGTTGAGCATGATAGGAAACTTAACCATTATTGCCCTCACTCTACTGGATTCCCATCTTAAGACCCCAATGTATTTCTTCCTCCGAAATTTCTCTTTTCTGGAAGTTTCATTCACAAGCGCTTGTATTCCCAGATTCCTAATCATCATTGTAACCAGGGAAAAGACCATTTCCTATAATAGTTGTATATCTCAATTATTTTTTTATATATTCTTGGGGGTTACAGAATTTTTCCTTTTGGCAGCTATGTCCTATGACCGCTATGTTGCCATTTGCAAACCTTTGCATTATATATCCATTATGAGCAGCAGAGTTTGTCATCAGCTTGTACTCAGTTCATGGGCAATTGGATTCCTGGTCATTTTCCCTCCACTGCTTTTGGGTCTTAACCTGGATTTCTGTGCTTCAAATATCATCGATCATTTCATTTGTGACATTTCTCCTTTCCTGCAACTTTCTTGCTCAGATACACATTTACTAGAACTGATTGCGTTTTTCTTAGCTGTGCTGACCCTCATCGTCACCTTGTTATTAGTAATCCTTTCTTACTCTTACATCATCAAGACAATTCTAAAATTCCCTTCAGCTCAACAAAAGAAAAAAGCCTTTTCTACCTGCTCTTCTCACTTGATAGTTGTATCTATCACTTATGGTAGTTGTATATTCATCTACGTAAAGCCATCCGCAAATGAAAGAATCGGTGTAAGCAAAGGAGTAGCTGTGCTCAATACTTCAATTGCTCCTTTGTTGAACCCATTCATTTACACTCTGAGGAACCAGCAAGTTAAACAAGCCTTCAGAGATGTATTTAGAAAGACATTTTGTGTTTTAGACAAGTAATACTATTTATCGAAATAATTAACATAAAACGTAAAAGGAATAAAACCTATTTTGACTCTTCTAGTTTGAGAATTAATCTCTATTATTTAATTAGTTGGATCAAGCTTAAAAACTTTTTCCATTCTATACATTCTTAATTCAGCTTTCTCTTAATATTGAAACTTTTCTACATTGGAAATATAAAATTGCGAAATTTATTTTTTTCTACAACTGTTAGAATAAGATGAATGAAGGTTTTATTGTAATATAGAATATGAATTCTTGGAGTGCTGTATCCATTAAACAATTTAAATAAATGTACTATGTTTTACTTAAAAGCCATATCCTTCAAAGTTCTTAGAAAAATTGAATTTTGTCAGGATTAAATATACTTCAGATGCTCCAAGAGATTTTGCACTTTAAAAGAATGATCTAGAGAATTATTTTGTAATATCAATTGTTATTGACATTTTGTAATATCAATTGTTAATATAGTAAAAAAGCATAATTTCCTTTGAAATGAATCATACATTTTATTTTTGTGATTTTTAGTTTTCTTTGGTTGGGTAAAATTTTAAAATTGCAGTAGAAAATGAAATAAGATTTAATACACAAGTAGTTGATTTCTCACATCATCTTTTTCAAGAACATATAAGCAAGTTTAATCTCTTGAACATGCCAATGAACATATTGAATAAATGAGAATACATGATGAATTTTATAATGTTATATATAATTATTTGTTTTTAATTCTGTGTGTTTCCTACATTAATTGATATCAAATATCAATTTCTCAAAGTGCAAATGACTACTTAAAAAATAAAATTATATTTTATTTCTTCCAAAATCGGCATATGAAATTATCTTTTTTTTTTTTTTAACTTTAGAATTCTTAGAACACATAAATGCCACAGCTCTATAACTGTCCTAAGGTAGATGCCATTAGACCTGTTCATTTATACCATAATGATGATTAAGATATTAGCACTAGATTATTTTCCATCTGTGCCAGTAGTATTTGTTCTTATCT